GTGGCTGGCGCCTTAGCCGGTTGAGCTATAGGAGCCGAGCCACATCTTAACTTTTTAAAAGAAACCTCTGACATTCCTAGGCTCCCATGCTAAATGTCACCTAATGAAAACGCAGAAGAAATGACCAAGTTTTTAAACAATTTAGGGAAAGGGTAAGAGTAAATACCCAAAGTGAAGATGGTAAAAGGCAACTGCCTTCATAGTTCACACCTCGGTGATTTACATGCTGTCCTTTGTAGTTAAGGACCAGCAATAGCAAGTCAACATAACTGGACTCCAGTGCCAACTATGTCATTTACTTGTTTTAGTGCCTAGTCACGACCCTCTTAGCCTGTTTTCATCTGTTCCATGAGAGACTTCTACCAGAAGATCTTCAAGTCCCCTCCTCTTAGACATTCTGTGTGTCTACACTCTGTCTAGGCAACCAAACCCCTGACAAGTCTTCAGAGCTTCACCCCAAACCTCACTTCTTCAGATTCCATTACCAAAAACTCTGGTCCTACCTGCTCTGGGCTGATTCAACCTCTATGATCCTTGTAATCACAGCTAAATCACAAACTGTGTGTCACTATCTTTCCACAATTGATGGGAAAGTGGCCTCGGGAAAGGCAATGCATTCTACCTGGGCAGAAACTGGGTTTCCTCCTCCTGTTAATGCTCCATATCAGGTGTGCCCAGTGATCCACCGCAGAAGTGTGCCTAAGGTTACAGCCTGCCTTACCTCCCTGCCCGAGTCCCTCCTCTCCAGTACCAAAGGGTTCTCTAATACGCAGCCATAGCCCTCCTCACCCAGCAACTCGAGGTTCATCCCTGCGGACTCTCTGGCCGCCCGGTCTCAGCTCCGGCAACGACGCCTACTCCACTTCTCGCTTCCAAGACCTGCGTCTAAGTCGGGGGCGCAGAGAAGAGCCGAGCGCAAGCTCCGGAGACTTTCTGACTTAGAAGGCCCCGCGGCTTCCGCTTTCTTCCCCCGCCTTCCTTATTCGTTTCAAGTGGGCTGCCCACATATATGCCTAACCAAAATAAAACATAAACTCTTTTGGAATCAATAAATCACGGCCTTTTTAAAGGTCTAAAAATGTTATAGTCACTCAGGACTTTAACAAGTGCAGGAATGGAAGGCCATTTTTTCCGGAAACATATAGGTGAGCTAAAACTTTCAGGCATATAGTTAACCTACTAGTCCGTACTATGTTGTGTGTTCAGCGGCGTTGTCCGGGCGGGCCGCTTCAGATTCTGCAAGGAAGGTTCCGGGAAAAATCCTACTAACGTAGGAAAGCAATTCAGTCTAGTGCTCAGCTGTGGAAAGCAGCTGACCCTGTCGAGGCGCGTGCCCACGGGTACGCAGGAAAGTTGCGGTGTGTCTGTGTCAGTCCCGTGAAAATTTGTTCACTTTGTTCCTTACAGAAAGGTATGTTAGACCTATTTATGTTAGGATGATAAAAATCTTACCTGAGGTCTTACCATGTACCCAGCTTTGGCCAGGATACTGTGAAAAAGAATTGGAATAAGAGGTGGACTAAGTTCCTCGGAGCTCAGTTGCGCAGAGGTAAGAATATTTTGTAAATATCTTGTAAAATCTTATAATGAATATTTTGTAAATAAAGGTACATTTAGCTACAATTTCTCATTTTCCCTATGTATGGCCACTTTTAGGACCCGCTCTTGCTACAAATATAAATGTCCGTAAGATTTACTGGGAACTCCAACAATGGAAAAATACACATACACAATACATACGCAATTACACACGAACTTTGTGGCCACCCTGTATAATTCACTGTAGTATTGTCTGTTTGCAAACTATTGGAAACAATACTGAATTTTTTTTTTTTTTTGCAGTTTTTGACCGGGGCTGGGTTTGAACCTGCCACCTCTGGTATGTGGGGCCGGCGCCCTCCTACTTTGAGCCACAGGCACCGCCCTGAAAACTTTTTTTTTGGTCGAGACAAGAGTCTCTCTATATCGCCCTGGGTAGAGTGCCATGGCGTCACAACTAAAACAACCTCAAATTTTTGGGCGTAAGCCATTCTTTTGCCGCAGCCACCCAAGTAGCTGGGACGACAGGTGCCCGCCACAACGCCCGGCTGTTGTCTTGTTGCGGTTGTCATTGTTGTTTAGCAGGCTCTGGCCTGGTTCGAACCCACCACCCTCAGTGTGTGTGGCGGGTGCTCTAACCACTGTGATACAGGTGTCGAGTCAATACTGAAATTTTCTTTTTTTTTTTTGCTTGTACTAAAGGTCTTTATTGGGGGGGGGAGGAAGGCTGCAGAGCAGCCCCAGGGAGGAGAGAAAAGAGGGGAGAGAGATAAGGAGAGAGTGGGGAAGAGAAGAGAGAGTAGAGAAGAAAGGCAGAGAGAGGCAGGATAGAGAGACAGCAATACTGATATTTTTTAACAAGGGATCCCTGCATTTTTTTTTCAAATTTTTTTTGTAAAGCCAGAGTTTCACTTTATCACCCTTGGTAGAGTGCCGTGGCATTATACAGCTTACAGCAGCCTCCAACTCCTGGGCTTAGGCGATTCTCTTGCCTCAGCCTTCCAAGTATCTGGGACTACAGGTGCCCACCACAACGCCCAGCTATTTTTTTGTTGCAATTTGGCCGGGGCCAGGTTTGAACCCTCTGCCACCCTCAGTATATGAGGCCGGTGCCCTGCCCATTGAGCCACAGGCACTGCCCAGATCCCTGCATTTTTATTTTACACAGGGCCCTGCAAAATTTGTAGCTGGTCCAATCTTTCTCTGTTTGTCAACAAATTTGCAGAAAGAAAAGCTTCATTCACACCGTGCTCTCTGTCTCCTGTCCATAACTGATTAATGGGTAAACCCCTGACCCCAGCTGAACCCAATTAGATTTCTTTCCCAAGAATTTGAAATGGGAACGAGGTGGCCCCACAATCTGACACATCTATTGAGGAGAATAAAAGTGAAATAAGGTGCTATTGTCTCCTAATAAATAGAAACCATGGTAGTTGGCTGCAAGTTGAAAAATAAAGCAGAAGTTCAGAAACAAGTCAAAGATAAAATGTTCTGCATCCAGTTGGTTCCCCAAACATGCTGATTAATGTCCTCTTCAGTTAAGTACCCTTGAACCTTTATAGTCCTTGCTGTGTGCTATCCCAAAACTTTTTAGTTTATTAGAGTCCTGATTAATTCCACTTCCTGACCTGAAGACAATAGAGAGTGCTCAAAATCCATGTGTTGAAAGGGATTGGGAAGTATCATTTCAAACTGAAAAAACTATTTCTAAAACCAAACCCAACAAAATTGCTTCTCTCCATAAACAAAGGAAAACATTGCATAAAGGTAATAAAAATATGTGGAAACAACAGATTAGTTTCTTCTTAATTCTCTGACTATGCAATCCAATATAATCACTTTTATAGACTGGACATTAATATTGTGATGTAGTAAAAATTAAAGTCCTTGGCTCGGTGCCTATAGCTCAACCGGCTAAGGCGCCAGCCACGTACACCTAAGGTGGCAGGTTCAAATCCCCAGCCCAGACAGCCAAACAACAATGACGGCTGCAACCAAAAAATAGGCGGGCGTTGTGGCGGGCGCCTGTGGTCCCAGCTACTTGGGAGGCAGAGGCAGGAGACTCGCTTGAGCCCAGGAGTTGGAGGTT